ATAAAAAGGGCACTTATCGGGAGTTTTTTATGTCTCCCGCGTGTTTTATCGAAAATGAAAATTTTTAATTTTACGCCATGAGTTACTTTAAATAAATAGTCTTAATCTTTTTCTAACAAGTTGCGTGTTTATTTACTGGCAGATATAAATTTTTAGCGATTCAAACATTTAAATTCAATTTTCTTAAAACACATTTTTTCAAAATGTGCCCTTCTTCCTAGCGATGCTTCTTATGTCCATTAGAATTTCAAAATTGGCATATAAAAGATTCAAATAATAATAATATATAATAAACACCAGAAATATATAAAGGATAGAACGCGCGAAGCGCGCTAAGTAACAATAATATTATTAAAATAAAATTTTAGCACTGTTTCCACTCATCAACGAATTACAATCTTTTGGCGACTTATATAATTTTTTTATAATATGATTCCACTCTAATTTGCGAGCTCCGAAGTTTAAGGTACGAATTACTATTTTTTATTATTTCAATAACCCGATTTAATTGAGGTTAAGTGAAGGACTTATTTTGGTAAGTTGTACCTCCGTAACTGGCCAGAAAGAATCCATTTGATCCCATCGATACTCAATCGTCGAAATTAATTGAGAGTTTAAACTTCGCAATGCGTCGTAGTAACTGCAAATTGCTCTATTGCAACCAGCAGCATAGAGCTTGTGCGCAGCGCATACCCGAAACTTCAATTGTGTTGTTGGTCATATGCGCAATTGGATGCGGCGCAGTATATTGTGCTCAGATTTGTCCGTTTCAAGGAAAATGTCAACATTGTCAGTGGAGTAACTCAATGTTAATATTGTTAATTAATTTTGAGACGGATACGATTGGAGCACAATGTACTGTGTAACGTCCAAGCGCGTATGATCAGCACCACAATAAGTCCCAGGGGTCAGATTGAGATACATAAGAAGTTTTCGGTTAAATTCTAGTGAACTATGTTCCGAATGTTCTAATACTGGAACCTTTTTTATTTGAATTAAAATATTATGTAATCAAATTAATAAAACAATCCAAATAATTAGTTAAAAAATGAATTATTCTATTATCGCAATGAATGTTACTATTTTAAGGTTGTGATATTCTGTAAAGTTATTAAATATAATTCATTAAAATAATTTATTGAATGGACAACCATGTTCATATAAATAACTTCATGTGTGCGTGTATTTGTGTATATAATAACTAGCAAGTAGGGTACCAACACTAACCTCCAAATTTAGTCCCGTCGATTATCGAGCACAATCAATTATTCTGTTAGAATCTATTTGATTAATTAATTTCCATTTACTGATATTTAAATTATGTATAATCGTTACACATAAAATGTAACCATGTTTTACACATGTATACGTGAATAACTGATAATGTACGCATATTACACATATGTCATTTCAAAAACTAAAACGTCCTCATGTTTTGTTAAAAATTTATTTTTTTGTCCTACAAGCTTATTCTATCCACCATCAACATTTTACTTTATATATATTCACTAGAAACATATAAGGCCCCGGTCCCATAGGTACGTACGGATGCGGACGGATACGGACGCGAATCGCAACTCTAGTAACATCACTAAAAATATCTAGTTCGATTATTTAGTACCAACACTACTGGTAGTGAGCAAAAGTGACTGTTGTTTAAAATTGTAGCGCTGAACGTATACCACATTTAATGTTCAAATGTCAGGTCTACAATATACTTTTCAAATTCTTATGAATATTGCTTATTGATGAGTATGCTAATGTAAAAAAAGTTTTTGGGATGATTAATACATATCATTTATATATTTTTTCTCCTTCTCATACATTCAAGTACTTCCATAAAATTAAGGCCTAATTCCACTAATTGTAGTTGAAAGTCTATCAATTCTCTATTGTGACGTCGGTTGACGAAACAATTCTCAGGCGCACTTTTTGGTCTATCCTTGCGGACAATAACCGGGACGTGCGTTACCACTATCGCGGGAAATTCCTTTTTTCGGCGACGGAGGATCGAAGCTTTGCTGTACCACACGCTAGGCAATATAGCAGTACTTCGCGTTATTTTACCACACTCTTGGCAATAAAATAACGTAAAGGGAGCCTATCTAATATGCACTCGACCACACGCTTGGCAATCGAGTGTAACTATCTAAGTAAGAAAATCCCGTACGCGAAACTAGGAAGAGTAAGGAGAGAGAAGTTAAAGGAGAGTAGTTAGAATGTAAAAAAATTTTATTTAATTTTTCTTACTCACTTTTATAATGGTTTTCCCACACACACACTAAAAGATTAACTGGGTCTGGACGAACTTGAAGAATAGCTAACGAATTCAAATAAATTGTACGAACTAAATCTGAGCTACTAACTTTGAACGAACTGAATTTCGAAAAAAAATAATAATGTAATGCCTGAATTTTCGTGAAAAGATCTCTTTTATACTTTTTTACAAGAGACTCCCACTCGAAAATCTTTGTCATTTTTGGGCAGGAAGAACTAAAATTTTCTCAACTTAATTGGTTGGAAAATTTGGGGAGTATCTCAGCGTAAGCAAGGTTCGAATCCTAATTGGCCGGGGGCGGAGTGTGCGGGTGTGGCTTCATTTTAGTGTTTTGGGCCCTCTTCGCATAGATGGCCCTCTATGTACTATTCTGGCCTTTATCTATTTAAACTAATTTTATTTAAAATTAATAGTGTGTGTGGTACTCTAATTTTACAAAAATGTTTCTTAATCTATAATAAAACTAAATGATAGAACAAAGGTTAAGAATTACATTTATCTAAGAACAATTAGGATATTAATAGTTTTAACTATTAATTGATTATTAAAAAGTTTTGAGAAATGCTGAAAAAATCAGAGTTAATTGCAACAAACATAATTAATAACTTTCATTCAAGTCATTCTTAAATTGTCTAACGCAAAGTTGAGCGCACCCAACAATTATATATACGAAACTCGTAAAGAAAATGAACCAATAAATACGGGAAGACAAATTTCGCAATTTTTCGAGAGACCTGCAAGCAAATCTGTTTCCTTTAATTTAAAATAAATTAGCAAAAATGAAAATAAATTATTTAAAATAAAATAATAGTACTGTTGGCAGGATGCACATGTGCGCTACAGATCTCTTCTTTCTAAACATGCGCGCAATCTGACTACTCCGGATGACGCGATCGTAAAATCGCCCTGATAATCTCCAGTACCCGAAAGTCGCCAGATGCACGAGCCGAAAACTGCCGTTCACAGGAAAAATCGTTTTTATTCATCCGCACGCAGTTTTTCATCTTAATTTACGAGCTAAATGTGTGGTCGGTATTTTTTTCTTTATTCTCTCTTTTTTTGAACCGCCGTTACACTATCATTTGCCAATTTATAGACTGCAATAATGTAAAGGTTAGATAGGCGTTCATTAAATGTGGTACGTTCGGCGCTACAGTTTTAAACAACAGTCACTTTTGCTCAAATGTGTTCTTTTTACTTTTGACAAATTATTGTGATTTTTGTAATTTATTATTTGCAGGAATCTAAAGTTAAAGTAGAAAATGCGTTCATCGATTTTGTAAACTTCAGTTACGTTGACGAACAAACGTTTCATTTCTCTTTTAAAAATGAATCTGAAACTAAAAGTAGTATAAGTTTAAGAAGTGATATTATTAAAGATATACCGGAAGATTTTCATGTAAGTAAATATATCGTTTACAAATGAATATGTGTTAGAAAACTTTTCAGCTCAATCGTATATCAAATAATTATATTTTACCTAAACAATGATGAGGTTAAAGTAAAAATTATGGGTCGGACTTTCGGACAATATGCCCTTCCTACAGGGGTAAATGTGGATATTAAATTTTGTCAAAGCTCTCTACAAGATTTCTTTTCAACCTTACATGAATGCTGCTGGTATAACTACGTGTCCCCCGACGAAGGTAATATCAATATGATTTTATTATTCTTTTACCAGAAATTGCTTGCATTATTTTTATTTTACACTCAGGGAACTTATGAAAGTAACGATATTAGTACAGAAGTCGTCGGAATGCCAGTATATTTAACACCTGGTCTCCACTTTCTTGTTGAATTTGAAACATACGCATCTGATATTGTTTTAAATAAAGCCAGATACTACATATATGTGTCTTAATTTTTCGTCGATCCGATTTCAAATCGTAAGTATTAAACAAGAAATTTGATACATTAGTATACAGAAGTATTATGTAATAACATTACATCTAATAACAAAACAATTCTCTATTAAATGATGCGTTATATGTATTACAAAAAACATGATTTTTAAGGCCCCTATATACACTTCTACAAAACGAACATCACTCCAATAATTAACCTAAATAAATTGTATGGATGCTTGAACAAAAACCAGTGATCACACCAGGATTTAAATTAACGAGCAAGGGTTCAATTTTTTTGCCTTGTTTCTTTGCAAAAATATTAAGTATTACTATAGATATCGCAGTTGCAAACAACGAAAAAATTATCAGTTTAAAAATTTTTTTTGGGACAACTGAAGGGGTTCAATTAAAATAATGAGTATTTTTGGAGGGTTCAATTAAAGATATTTCGAATGGTATTTTTTATTTTCACTGTCCATTATACTTTGCAGGCTGGGGTAAGGGGGGTTATACGGAAATCTACGATAATCTGTCATGAGCGTACACGACATGTACCTATATAAATAGCCCACAAATAGATGATCACGTGACTATCTTTCAGCCAATCAGCTAATGAATAAACTGGCTTCACTTTGTCAGGTTTTCTTTTTTATAGGAGGATAATCTTCAGAGTGTTCTGTGCAACAATCCTCTAAACAAAAATCACAACCCTCTGCAAAAACTCGACCACAGTTTAAAATCAATATTTTTTAGAAAGTATCAAAAATTATGATTTATTTTACGCAATGTAACGTCAGATAAGTGTATAATAATAATGAACGTTAGAAATAATGGGTTGATGTAATATAATTTATTCAATAATAATTACCCTGATATGCAGATAAAGAATTTTAAAAGAAAATAGTATTCAGAGGTGCAACATAAATACTAAAACGAAGTGAAACCTATTCCATAGTTATTATTATTACTAGACAATTTCATGTTTTTTTACCAAGGCACTTTTAAACGGCACCAAATGTATATTTGTTGTATAATTGATTAGCTTTATCGATGCACTCGATACATACTGCCTTAAACAGATTGCTGAGTTGTTTTGAAATGTGCTTTTTAAGAATTTCTATTTCTTTTTCAGTTATGATTTTTCCGTTTATCAACTGCGCAGAAATGAATACGGTATGAAATAATTGAATATTTATAGCGCTTTTCTTTGAAAAAGAAATAAATGATAAATACTTACATCTTTCTCTTTCTTAGTTATACAAGTGTGATGGTACGTCGGTTTATTTGAGTCGTGAATTATTTAAAAACTATGAATTACTTCAAACTTATCATCTGGTCTTTACATAACTCCTCTTTACACTCATGAAACTTTTTTGTTAATTGTGCAGTATTTGAAAGTTAACACTGATTATCCAATTTGTAAATGAAAAAAAAATTATACTGAACTCGATACATAAAAATATTATTAAATCTTTTACGGTCATATCGTTAACTTACTAGAATTAGAATAGGAAGAATACCTGTAATATAAAATAATATGTTCATTAGTTCAATGGAATTATAATTAGATGAGTTTTTAATTTACACAGATTCTACTTGTAACAGAAACATGCATAAGATTTAAACAAATTCACTTAAGTGTATTATTACGTAAAATTTAATCGGTTGTAATTTATGAAATAATATTATAGATAATTTGTAAAAAAATTTATTGTTAAAATTGTATTGCTATGTACTTTATTTTAATTTTATAGCTATGTTATTGCAATTGTTATTGTTTTTAACAAAAACAATATGTCACGTGATTCACACTGAAGATACGTTCTTAATTGTCAAATGAAATTTTTTTGAGTAATTTACTTAACAACTGATAAAAATATTTTATTTTTGTTGTTTTAAGATATTATTGTTGATTCATAGAAACACATAAAAAATTATGCAGGTTCCAAGAAAAAAATCAGTAGTTATTTTTAATAACCATATATGCACAGATCTTTTTCGTAACCAATTACATAATCTGAGTAGATAATTTCCGAGGAATACGTAGAAAACGGCTATGTTTATACATAAAGTTATATCCAATTCAATTTGTACAAAAACTTAAATTTATATTTCATTCCACAATATATCTACATCAAGACCTTGCAAACTTGGTAACAATTTGGTTGTTGATGAATTATGATGAGTTTCCGTGACTTTTAATTCAAATTTAATGAATTTTGATGAATTTGATGAATCAAGCTTAATTGCATAGGTTTTCGGGGTATTTTATATATTCCATAATGACACTTTTAATACAAGAAATAGTAGTACCACGCAGATAAACATCTTGCAGAGCTCACATTTTATTTTCAGCCAAAGGCTTTCAATTGCCTGTCACGCATTCATATCAATTAAGAACAGTTTATAGTTAACGACTTCATATTGCTTCTTTTTTTCTCTCTGTCATCAAACGGCGCTACAATTAACTGTTATTATCTCGAAAGCCTTGTCTACGCTCATTTTCACGTGACAACGTTGTATATTCATAATATTATTTTTATCGTAGTCCGACGTCGAAGTATGTTGAAATCGAAGATTTTTTTGATGCACAATACATGGGAATACAATTCACCAAAATTAAAAACCTTTATTAGTGTCATTATTAAGGGAGACACGGCTATTTAATAACTTATTAAAAGTTCCAAGTTTACCTTGTATTTGGACAACTATTACAGACTGAATTATTTTATTTATTAATAAAAAACATAGTATTTAGTATTAATATTTGATTTTCAATCATTGAATGTTCAATAATTAATCATCAGTAATCTTTTCCAATTTCAATTCTGACACAATTTCGAAAAAACCATTTTAAAATATTCTTTAAAAGAGCGTTCTTAAAATATTCGTTTTAAAAAAATTTTTTATCTAAAAATAACCAAATAGACAATTTAAAAAATTTTGTTCGCTTCCGTTCAATAGGTTAATTTTTTTATTACTAAAGTTGGAATCAATTTGAAAAAATATCTAGAAATGCTCTTTGTGACTATTTTTCAAAAAAAGTTGATTTCAATTATTTGTAAAGTTTGAAGCACATAAATTTTTCAATTAATTAATACCTTTGTTGTGATAAATAGGCAGAAAGCAAACAGAGTACATTGTAGTCTCTATAATACCTAGCAATTGAGTTGGTGAATGAAAAAGATAAACAAACAGTACTTCTTCAATTCAATCGTCAAATTATTCGCGTATGATTACACTACAGATATAAAGAAATACATCTGTGACTTCGACCTATTGCAACTCGACGAAAAATGATATGAAAATCTTTTGAAAAACAATCACAAATAGCATTTTCCACGACCTTTCAAAATCTTTTTCTAGACTTTTTCTAGCTTCAGTATTATAGATAAAAAAAAAATTTAACTGATTGAACGAAAGCGAAAAAAATTTTCAAAAAATCTATACCATCATTTTTTGTGGACAAACCCAGCTTGAAAAAACTCTCAAAGAACGTATAACAACGGTCTACTCACAATTTTTCCTGAATACATATTGAATAAAATGTGCTCAAGCTAAAACTTGATTATTAAGAATTAATATATGGCGCCGTGTATATATCGGAATCCGATTATCAAGTCAAACTTAAAAAGATGACGATCGCGATGTAACAGGCTTCAAAAAGATATTAGGGTTAAATTATCAGAAAGTAAAAATAAAATTAACGATTGAATCGAGGATTAAATTGATTTTATATTATTTGACGTGAGCAGTGAATTCTGTGCCACTTGATATTTCTTCAGCGTGTCGAGTCCATCGAGATAAACGTAATAATAAGCTGTCGTGATCAATTCCATATGAAATTGTTTACAAATGGCATTTGTCACGCTGGTCAATTCATGGGAATTTTCAAAGTGAATAAGTTTACAAGCGAATGAGTAAGTCGAGCTGAATCACAAAGTGAAAATAATGTTTTTCATAATCATTTGTCACAAAATCAAATTCAACTTATTTTTTCATAAGGAAAGACCGTGGACGAAGTGAAATTCAAATATTCTCTGAATTTAAGCCTATATACTTATTATTGGCAATATTTGTTCGTAAAATAAATATGTCTCAAGCGGAAATTAACTTATCGAATAGCTAATCTGGAAAAAAACCGTATATTTTGATGAACTGAAATCATTGCAAAGTCATGCTGATATAAATATGGAGTCCAATTCGACATTCATACAAATACAAAACTAAAATTCAACTAGATTCTAAAATGGTTTTTATTGAATTTGTAGACTAAAACATTAAAAAGTACTCGTCGATGACAAGTATAATAAAAACTCAAAATAATATAAAAAGGAGATTAAATGTTATATCGTATCAGTCACAGTTCGCAACGATCCTCTCTTCGAGTTGCAATTGCTTCAATATTGTGCTTTCATACATAGTTTCTGATAAGCCGACACCAACTTTATCACCTACACAAAAGTGCACTAGCACAAACATATATATATATATGTATATATATACCTATATATACCAGTTTGCGAAGGTCAACTTCCGAGAACCGCACCACGCGCGTAGGTATGTGTGTGTGTGTGTGTGTATGTGTGTGTGCGCGTGCGCATGCACGTTAAAATGTTACAGCGCCAAGGTAAAAAGTCACAATAGAAGTAACTCTTTAGTTAATGAACAAAGCAAATGTTATCGTCGTACACATTTTTACGTGATGTAAAATAATCTAAAATTTAATGTCATTGACATTATCAAACGTAAGTGAAGCGAATCGCTTCAACGTATATGTATAAAATGGTAAGATAATATATACCTAATATCACACATACACACACATAGAGACTCGCGCATTAACAGGCATGTGGGTCACGTGCTCAAGCGGCCGATTTAGGGAGGTTTGCGCCGGTCAGTCAGACGGCGCGGACTGTAGAGAGAGAAAGAGAGAGAGAGAGAGAGAGAGAGAAAGAGACAGGACCGCGGCGAGTCGCGACTGGCGAGCAATAGTTTCAGTCAGTCGCGTCGCGGACCTGTCACGGCTAACATTAAATTGTTGGTGTATGAGTGCATGCCAATTTTAAAAAGGCCTCACCATAGCGGGATGCAGAGAGGTAGCAGTCGTTCTTACCCTCGGTGAGTTGTGAGTAAGGTTATACTATCCGTCCGTGTGTATGTGTGCGCATCTATCTCAAAGCTTTTCGAGGACTCGCGTTTCGGTTCCCGTCGATTCTCTTTTCCGGCTTTTCTTTTTTCGAATGACTTGGCAAAACAGTGACGTTACTTCTTTGACGACTCTGAATGTTTGCCAAACATTATATAAGCTTTAGCCACACATACACGCAGGCGCACGAGCAGAGCACGCAGTGAAATGCGCTCCAAACTTAAAGTCTTTCTCTTTATATCTACGTTTGTTTTGTTTTGATGTTTATTCATGTGATGATGATTCGAGAGTTTGTCATCGTGGCTTTGTGCGAATGTGCGCGCACGCGTGTGTAAATAAACTTGCTATTATATAGTTACTCCAATGGAAATTTTTTGCGAGTGTGCTTTCGAATTTAATTACTCTCGCGTGATTTTTTATTCCACGTGAGTGTCAATTGTGTAAGTTCTTCTAATTAAAAAATATAATATTATGCTACGTGCGTGGCAGTTTATTCTTTGCTAAGGCTTGCCAAGCGTTATATGCTCATATCTATTATCCTGTGATAAGTTAGAGAATATCGTTCGTTACGTGCTGTTTGTACTTCTGTTTCTCTAAAGCTGAATATTATAATGTCTCTTTTTATTACTCCAACAAATCACAACATTAGTTCAATATCAAGTTAATGATCCTTTCTTAATGGACTGATAACATTTTTCACAAATTTTTATCAAGTATATGTTTTTAATATTCAATTGATTTTATTAAAATTATTTTGCTTTATTTAAATACTTCTATAAATTTACATTTTATACCACAAGTAAAATTTTGAGCAGTAAACTTGCATAGTATACAAGCTAATCACATATAAATAATTGTGTGGGTAAATAGAACAAATCACCTAATAAGCAAAGTAAACATAACATATGCCTGTTCATACTTAAAAGTCCTCTTCCTCTCTTAGTCAATATCTGGATGATTTATAGTAGCAATTAAATTAGTAGTACATTTTATCTTCACTATCTTTTAAATTCTTGTATGTCCGTAATAATAAATATAATAATTTAATTAATAAATGCCCATGAAAACTAATTCTATTTAACATTTTTGAAGAACAGTTTGGCTATAGTCAAAGGAAAAACATTATTTAAGCAAATACCAAGATTAAGCTATATAAAACTTTGATGGAGTCTTGACATAATCAACTGTTTTTTTTCTTTCGAATTAAATGATTGATAGATCATCAAAGATTTATGATTCTCAGTGTATTTATTTTATCAATCCATTTTATAGAAAATAATTTTATACTGAAAGTCATTCGGAATGTTGCAAATTATTATTCAAATTGTGTATATTTAAATAATCTAGTAAAGAATTAAAAATACACCTTTTAATCTTCAATAGGGAAGTGCAATGAACCTCATAAATACTAAGGAAATGTGATATAATCTTTCAGGAAGTATTAAACTTGAGCAAAACTGCAATTTTAACCATAGAAATACTATTCTTATTCCTTATGTAATCTTAACTAGCACAGAAACAGAGTCTTACATTATTTGCTCATGTTTCACATTTTTCAAGTGATAATCTTGCTAGTTAGATTCCAATAAGTACAATGAACCTTCTGTATTCTTCTAATGAAATCGATGCAACTTGCTACAGTGATTGTTCAAATAAGATTACATAAATGTGTACCCATTAAATATCATACAATCTTGTGGAAAAAATAACAGGTCATCATTGTTTTTTTGTTTTGCAAGAGTTCTGTCAACTTTCTATTTGTATTGTAAGATTTGTGATTCTTATTACTGAATGAAATATTTGAAAAGAGGATCAGGTGCTATGTGACAAATATATTGTGACTTGATAAATGAAAGCTGAAAAGCAGGCTAAGGAACAAACACTTGAGCTCTCTATCTCACAATCATGGATAACAGTCTTATCTGAATATCTTCAAACTTGTGTATACAAAAGTTGCTGTAAAGACATTGGGTCATTGAATTACTTATATAGAAATAAATAATCACACAGAAAGCTTTTATTTTAAGCTTGTTTTTGATTCTAAAACTATTCTATATTTTCTTAGTTAAGTTCTACCTGATAATAAATTAAATTTTATATTTATAGAATAATTGAATTAAAGAATGTTTGTGTGAATGTGTAGGATATTAGATACAGAAATATGAAAAATATTGTTATTAATTTCAAGTCAATCATTAACTGTTTAATTAATCAATTTTCTAGATGAATAGTGGCTGAGTGGAAAAATGGACGGCAAGGCATATATACAGAGGCCAAAGAATCCAAGGGAAGGAGCTAACCCAATAAGTGCACTAACATTTGGGTAATTCTTACATAATAAAATGTAAACAATTCTTTTTGCGTAAGATTGTCATTTTATTGATGAAAGCTAGGATTTTAATCGAACAAAAATTTCCAATGAAAGATAAGGATAAGAACAACTTGTTAGACTTTAATAAATTAACAAACAATATTTTTTAAGGCATTTGTTTTTCATAAATATTTGAATTTTCCATTATTTTGAGAATTCATTTAAAAACACTAACAGATAATCAATGATTGCTAAATCACCTGCTGTGTTGAACTTGTAAACAGTAGCAAATTATCTTATCCATGAAAAATAAAAGCTCAAGCTTCCTGATGACACATTACACAAATTCTTTTTGTGCATGTTGCTAATCAAAATACATTTGTCATAAGATGTAAATATTCTTTTTTTTCTTATGATTAAAACAATGCAGCATTTAAATTGATTTTATTGATAATGATAAGGACATAATAAATTGTCCTGCTTACAAGAGTAAAATACATATTGACATCTCAATAAACATTAACTGAGTATAACTGACGATTATTAATTTCATGTTAGGTACATACTACGTTTGTTCTGGGTTGGTTACCGTCGAGATCTCGACATTCAAGACTTGTATGAGCCGCTGAAGGAGCACAAGAGTAATTTACTGGGTGAAAAAATAGCCAGGCTATGGGAGCAGGAGTGCGAACGTGTCAACAAAAAGCAATCAAGGAGCAAAAGTCATCGTAACGGCAAGGACGACCGAATTCAACCGAGCTTACTTCGTGTTTTATTGAGATGTTTCGGCTTCAAATTGGTACTTTACGGAGTACTGCTGGCCGTTATGGAAATTTTACTCAGGTACATTTACCTTGACTACTTTATCGCCGTTCGAATCATAATTGGTGCGATGAATGCAATCATAGCAACTCCGCTTTGTAATTTGAACTTTTCGTGTGGTAAAATGCTCAACACGATAAGATTGATAACGTTGTGCCAACTGTTTCAATTACTTCATTATTGGAAACTTCTTTTATTTCTTAACTAATTATCGTTGACATATGAATTCTGTCTATCTTTATTGTTTACTTCGAAAGTGGAACGGTATAAACTCAATAAAGAAGTTATTGAAATTGTGACATTCCTAAAAAAATTGTTTCTTAAATTAAGAACGTTTTTTTTTAATCACGACAAGTGAATTTATGATTTGAGAAAAAAAATTTGCATTCTGGGAAACAATTTATTAATTTAACTAAAATTTCATTTCCATTGTAAATGAGATGTCTTTTAACTTTATTTATATATCAGTAATTCCGTAAACGTTGACGCTTCCGTGATCTGAAAAAAAATCTCGAACTTTCCCGCAATCTAAAGAAACTAATTTAAGTACAATGGGACCAATTATCCTTTCTCTTTTTCATACATTTTTTCCAATATTATCATCTGGTTATTTAACCAAAATTTTTACAAAATGTGAATGGAACGTGAAAAAGTGACCAATTATATACAAGTCTCTTTAAAAGCGTCATAATAGAAAAAAATTCAATTCTAAACCCAATGGGAAATGGCACTTTTAACGTGAACTGTAGATTGCTGCAGCCGATATTCCTTGGTCTGCTGATCAGTTACTTCAGACAGCGAAAAGACGCAAGCGATTTGAATGCGATGATCGTCACTAACAGCAGCAGCAACGATACGCAGCAAGGCGACGTTGGACAGTCCACATCGTTAAGTGCAAAAAATAGCCCGAGTTTTCCTTTTTTTCAAAAGAACGCCATCTAATACTGTCAGCAAGTGACTAACTTCCTATTAATGTTCGTTACAGTAGATAATGTTTAGTTACAGCTATATAAGTTATCATGCTGCTGGAATGCACGTTACGAATAATATTAGTGCTAGGTCAGCAAAAATTCTTAGATAATCGTATTTTACTGCTTGTTGCTTTAAAACAAATAATATTCAACGCTATCAATTCCGAAAGATCATCGCGTATATGTGTCTCAAATGGGTAGTTGCCACACATTCCACGCACGCACACAACCTGTCACCGAATTATCTTACAACGTTATCGTATTGTTCATTCTATACTGAAAAACTTTTTCTCTCACTCATCGCAACTTTTGTTAGATATTTTTCTTACGCGCGTTTATCGCTACCAGTAATTCTCGTAATGAACGAGAAATTCCGTATATAGTGATGCTAGATAGCTTTTATCTCTATGAGTTCTCTCTTTCTTGTGATGTCATAGTAACTCACGTCACGCCATTTAATTCTTGTTAGGATGCGGACAAAACTGAAAAAAACGGCGTGAAATGGAAAATCAGGCGTTTCATTTTACACCTCAACTCGCTTTGCTTTTCTTTTCAATATTTTCCATTTTTACATTGTAAACTCTAATGGAAGCGAGCAAATCTAAAGACTGAGCATTTACTTATTGATCAAACGAACTATAGAGCTGCAAGTGGATAAAACTGTGGTTATACGATTTTCGTAATAGAACAAGTATTTTATATAGGATTTTATTCACGATGACATGTTGAAAAATTAACTTGGAAACCGTGTCGTTACCAAGTAGCTCTTCCATCATTCAATCCAACCGAAATATTTCAACAAATACTCGTGCATACACTATCGTCGCATTAATGCGTAATTATGAGATAAACGCACGAGATCCGCATTCAAAATGTGTGTTATCGCAACTGATTAAAATATAACTGTCATCATCATTCCAAGACAGCTTCAAATCATTTTATTTCCATCGAAATTTTATAAGACTAACAACTGCGTATTTGCAACATTAGAAACACTACGCAAATTAATTAATTTTGTAATAATAATAATAATATTGTCGAGGAAAAATTCGAGATGCTAACACATTCAGTAACTATTAACGAATATGCTTAATTTGGACTTTTTTCAACGACTAATTCAAACAATAGAGCTAGAACACCAGCTAGATACTTGCTTATTCAAGTGTCCCTTGATCTAGATTACAATTTGTTGATATCAATTTCTTGGAATAATTTTATTGTCCATTCAAAAAGAGCGTTTTCTTGTGTAGTTGATAGAAAATCAACATAATTTCGATTACAGTTCCAAAAGAAAATAACGTAACAGCTGTGACAATTTTCCGCAAAAAGTGTTAGCATGTCGAGTCCCAATACTCAATTCACTCACAAAGTTAAAGGTCTTCGTTAAACTTACAGGGTAGCCCAGCCGATATTCCTCGCCGAAATGTTAAAATATTTTAACAAAAGCAACGAAGAATCGATCGTGAGCCGAAACGAAGCCTACTTATACGCCGGCGGAGTAGTGCTGTGCTCAGCCCTCAATGTCCTTGTCATCCACCCATTCATGATGGCAATTCTTCACATGGGAATGAAAATGCGTGTAGCCTGTTGTACTCTTATCTACCGGAAGTCACTGAAACTCTCGCGAACCGCCTTGGGTGAAACGACCATCGGCCAAGCGGTGAATCTACTATCGAATGACGTCAATCGTTTCGATGTGGCGTTGATCTTTTTGCACTACCTGTGGATCGGCCCACTCGAGACTATCATTGTCATGTACGTGATGTACCAGAAAGTTCAAGAATCAGCGATAATTGGAGTAGCAACGCTGCTCATGTTCATTCCGCTACAAGGGTTCCTCGGCAAGAAATCGTCGTCATTGAGATTGAAAACGGCTATTAGAACAGACGAGAGAGTGAGGTTGACGAACGAGATTATTTCCGGTATACAAGCCATCAAAATGTATACCTGGGAGAAACCATTCAGTGCCCTTATCGCCCAAGCAAGAGCAAATGAGATCAAAGTCATTCGTGGCATGTCGTATATTCGTGGTGCTATCATGTCTTTTATTATCTTCTCCACGAGACTTTCGTTGTTTATCACCATTGTTGCTTATGTACTACTTGGCAACAACATTACCACCGACTTGGTTTTCATGCTCACTGCTTACTACAATATCCTCAGGACAAATATGACTGTCTTTTTCCCACAAGGTGAGTTCATGATTTAACGACTTATCGTATGTTTACGTGCGTGAATAGGTAAAACGTTGATTATCGGATAGTTATGACGATAAGAATTTTTGTCCCATCTATTGGAGGTCATAAATGAAACAAATTAGAGAATGAAATTGTTCGAGATTAATGATTAGCTTAAAATGTTTGATCAGAAATTGAATAAATGCTGATTTTATTATGTTCATCGAATTAAGATAATCCGGTTATCATTTGACATTTACCACAGAATAAAACTTACTGTCGAAATGTAATCTTTACAGAGTGCGATGGCAAGGTCGTATAAATTTAGTTTTATCAACGTCTACTGATCTGAGAAGCTTCCAGGATACTCAATAGACGCATGTATATTCTGAAAGCTTTTTAGAATTTCATGTCGCGATAAAATTTACTGAGAGATGTCAAATTACAATATTTCTAAGATATATAAGCATAATCTTTTATCTTTATTTCAACTGAAATCTTTATAATTTCAGAGACAGTTAAGTCACAGTTACTAAATATATTTTTTTTCTACTTTGGCTTGAATTTTTGATCACATAAATTGAAAACATCAAGTCATTTTTTTTATACGTATTTCAATTTTATATTTTGTCATACTTATTTCCGTTTTAAATATAATTGGTATTTTTTGCAATTTATATCTTTTAGAATTAAAAAATGCAAATAATGAATGTTGATATGAAAAGTTAAGGAAAAACGAAAAAAAATTAACATCAATGATTTCCCTAATCAAAGCTATCTTGATCATTCCAGGTATAACGCAAGTAGCTGAAGTGATGGTATCAATACGTCGTTTACAACGATTCATGATGTACGACGAGGTATCGACACGCGAAGATCGCAGTCTTATTTATCGTAAGCCACGTGCCGATGACGATAAGAAAAAGAACATAAAGGGCAAAGCAGCCTCGGAGAATGGGAAATCGGGTAATTTGGTAGTGGAATTTGACCACGAAAACGAGGGTATGATCAAGTTGGAGCACGCATCAGCGAAATGGTTGGCATTTGAAAAGGACGATACTTTACATGACATCAATCTCGAAGTTAAACCTGGTGAATTGATTGCTGTTGTCGGCTCAGTTGGTGCTGGCAAATCAAGTTTGCTAAACGTGATTCTCAAGGAGCTGCCGCTCACCTCGGGATCTATCACGGTATACATGCGTTTTCTTACATTGTGGAATGTACTGATTGATGCGTCAAGGACGTGTAATAGAAAGTTTTATTTTCCCTTTCACGCGAGTTTTTCCTCTTTTGTTAAGCGTTGAAATCCTTGGAAAAGTTCAATTTTTACTTTTTCACTGTTATGCGTCTGAAATAATTTTAAAAAAAGTATAAAGAAACTTTGAATTGAGACTATCGCATCTGCGCATTCGAATGTTCGCTATTAGTGGAAAAATATTTCTGTTGTTTTTACTTATTTTTTCTTTTGTACTTCATTCAAGAATTGTGCGAAACTCTATCAATACATCGAAAGCGGAAAACATACAACACTGTTCTTCTAATTGTAAAGTGCTAATACGTATCAAAGAACGACAATTAGACAATTATGCTTAAAAAATGTCTCGCAGGAAATATTAACACTCACTTATAATACTAAAAAACTAGTGTATCAAGTATTTATACGATGAAAAAAAAAGAAAAGTAATAATTATCGGATAAAAGCGATGGATTAATCAGCAGTTGTTAAAAATGCCAATGCATAAGATTAATAAAAAATTGTCAATACTATTACAGGTCAATGGCCACATCGCGTACGCAAGTCAAGAACCTTGGCTGTTTGCCGGCTCGGTTAGGCAGAACATTCTGTTTGGCCGAGAAATGGACCAACACAAGTATGAGCAGGTGGTCAAAGTGTGCCAACTGAAAAGGGATTTTAGATTACTGCCGTATGGTGATAAGACCATTGTCGGTGAGCGGGGAATCAGTCTGTCTGGTGGACAGCGAGCCAGGTTTGTGTATCATTTTTGCATATCTTATCTAGTTCGTTGCTTATGTGTAAATTTATTTTCATCGGTTTTCAGAATCAATTTGGCGCGTGCTGTCTATTCGGACAACCCGATTTACATATTCGACGACCCGTTGAGCGCCGTAGATGCTCACGTGGGTAAGCATATGTTTGAGGAATGCATTGCCAAGTACTTAAGGAAAAAAACTAGGGTGCTAGTAACACATCAACTTCAGTACTTAAAAACCGTCGACAGAATTATCGTATTGAGTGGTGGAAAAATCAAAGCGGAAGGGTATATACTTGTGTCATCAAAAATGTCTTGCCAATTATAGCTTGACGATTAATAAAATAATTCTTTTTTAGCAAATTTGATGAGTTGGTAGTCCAAGGTATCGATTTTGGTCGCTTGCTCGAACAACAATTAGCCAAAGTAAATCAAGAGGACACGGGTTCCCAACCAGTGAGTCGTAGTACATCGCGACAGGGCAGTATTACATCACTAAGCTCGTTCATGACCAACGAGAACAATTTGTCCTTTGACGATCCCAAAGAAGAAGAAGAAATGCGTTCGGCTGGCAATGTATCTGGTGCCGTGTACAAAGGCTACTTCAGCGCCGGAGGCAATTTGTGTGTCATTATCACAATTTTCGTGTTATGCGTACTGGCACAATTTTTCGCAAGCGCCGGTGACTTCTTTATCTCCGCATGGGTCGGCATGGAAGATAATTCGACCGTGAGTTTTATTGCTTTATTTGTATTAGAAATACACTCGATTTCTAGATAATCGCTACGAAAAGTCCACGAGTTAATATGTTAATTTCTTTTACATTGGGAAAGAAGGCTATTTATGATTCACTCTGCCCTGAATAAGATTAGTAATTTATTTATTTGTAATTTTCAGTTCAATGACGACGGCTCGATCAAGGAATGGAATGGATTTTTAAGTCGTGAAAACTGTATCTATATTTACAGTGGCATAACGGCTTTGACAATTCTGGTAACATTGGTGCGTTCGTCAGCTTTCTTCGATATGTGTATGCGTGCGTCCCGCAATCTTCACGATGCAATGTTCGGCTCCATCAGTCGTGCAACCATGCGATTCTTCAATACAAATACTTCCGGACGAATTCTTAATCGATTCTCTAAAGACGTTGGTTCTGTGGACGAACTGTTACCGATTGCCTTAATAGATTGCCTACAGATTGGACTTACTTTAGTCGGTATTATAGTTGTTGTGGCCATATCAAAATATTGGCTGCTCATACCAACTGTCGTCGTCAGTGTTATTTTCTATTATTTGAGAGGTGTATACATTGCCACGGGTCGTAGCGTTAAACGACTGGAAGGAGTCAGTAAGTTTTATCTCTAAATTTAATGATAATTCAAAGTAAATAGTCTTCCTTTATGGGTAACACCTTATTTCACGCAAATCTGGAGTATTGTATAAGGTTGCTAGAACATATCAGTATTTCTTTGTAAACTTGATATATACAATTGAACAAATATCAATGAAATATTGTTTGCATTAATTCAATATTAACAGATTAAATAATTTATAGCACGTTCACCTGTGTTTGGCCATCTGAACGCCAGTCTTCAAGGTTTAGCAACAATCCGTTCATTCGATGCCGACGAGACTCTGATTAATGAATTTGATCAGCATCAAGATTTGCATTCGTCGGCCTGGTTTATTTTTATTGCTACCTCACGTGCCTTTGGATTCTATTTGGACGTATTTTGCCTTATCTACATATTCTTCGTGGTGCTGAGTTTCTTCGTATTTAATTTAAATGGTGAACTACCAGAAGGTAATTCTGTTGGTCTTGCTATTACGCAAAGTATTGGTCTTACTGGTATGTTCCAATGGGGTATGCGACAGAGTGCAGAACTCGAAAATCAAATGACCTCGGTCGAACGTATATTAGAGTTTAGGTATATATTTCAAATACTTGTAATATTCCTGTTACTGAATTTTCAGTAATGTTGATTTTTATTACAGTAATCTACCGAGTGAGCCTCCATTAGAGAGTTTACCAGACAAGAAGCCACCCAACGACTGGCCTCAGCAAGGAAAAGTTGAATTCAAGAATGTCTACTTGCGATACTCGCCTTTGGACCCTCCTGTCCTTAAAAACCTCAACTTCACCATAAATCCTAAGGAAAAAATTGGTATTGTTGGCCGTACGGGTGCTGGCAAATCGTCTCTTATTCAATCGCTTTTCAGGTTATTATTTTATTTAAGCTTTTAAAAACAAATAATCTTTGTCTATTTATCTTCAAAAAGCATGAAAGCATCATAATCACATATAATTATTCAACATATTTCATTTATTTCCAAATTTTAAGCAATAATATTCTTTCAGATTGGCCGACGTGCAAGGCCGCATCGAGATCGACGGTATCGAGACTGGTGGCATTGGTTTGCACGATTTACGTCGTCAGATCAGTATAATCCCTCAAGAGCCTTTCTTATTCTCCGGTACACTAAGGAAGAATCTCGATCCATTCGATACGCACGAGGATTCGGTATTGTGGCAAGCCCTAGAGGAAGTTGAATTAAAAGAGATGGGACTGCAAGCGCACATCAACGAGGGTGGTAGCAACTTAAGTGTGGGACAACGACAGCTGGTCTGTCTTGCTCGCGCTATTGTTAAGAATAATCCTATTCTGGTGCTGGATGAGGCTACGGCCAATGTCGATCCCAAGACGGATGAACTCATTCAGAAGACTATTAGGACTAAGTTTGAGAATTGCACCGTACTTACGATTGCTCATAGGCTCAATACTGTCATGGACAGCGATCGGATTATTGTCATGGATGCTGGTACTTGTGTGGTAAGTTGCTGTATTTTGAAGATTTTTTTTTCTCACGTGCTTTCAGTCATCATCGTGTTTTTAATTTACAGGAATTTGATCATCCATTTGTTTTGCTACAAAAGGAATCAGGTTATTTGAAGAGCATGGTCAACGAAACTGGACCAATAATGTCGGAAGCTCTGATGTCTGTTGCCGAAAATGCATTCAAGAGTCTCGATATTCCTACAATAGCCGAAAGTACAGCTCTTTAAACAACAAAAATATACAAACGGCTTCATTTCTTGCGTCCGCGCGCGCCAGTATTTTGCCATAAAACGTATACTCATGACACCTTTGTGTATAACATATACCCATTAGCGTGCGCGTATCGATCACTTTTCATCACATATTTGCGCTTAGAATGAACACAAGTAAGTGAATGCGCAGTATTAATTACCAGAATTTTATACATTGTGCATGTGTCGTTATTTTCAATCGTCTCTTTTTTGTTTGTTGCGTTTTATGAAACTGAAAAAAATAACAGCTATTTTCGCAAATCAACGTCTGTGTCTATTGTCAATTATCAATTTACAATATATAATTGTAAAATGAGAAAGCGTATAATATGCATACGGCAAGGTCCGTTAAAATGTAGATAGACATATATACGCATATATATTTTAAAAATATATATCTATTTTTTGAATATCGAATGGTGCTTTTTTGATCAATGTATACGTCTCGCCAGAGAGATTGCGAGGATATGAAAGCCTCACGTGCGACTTGATTTTAGAGTAATTTTTTTAGGAATTATCGGCTCGCTCCCATGTCATACGACAATGTGCACATAAGCGCCTTATACGACGACGAGACTTAATCTAAGTTTGATACTTAAAAACTAATTACCATTGTGATTCAACAGAGAAGAGAAACGTTCCTAATCGTTAAACTTGGTGCTTACATACTCTCGGTCTTGTTAACTACTTTGAACTCTTAAACAACTTGTAACTGCGTGTTCAAATGTTACTTTTTTATTGGCGGCGGTAATTATTGTTATCATTATCCTCATTGTATCGATTGTGTTGTAATTGTAACTATAGATCGATTGTTATTTTGCTATTATTATTAGTTATTTTATTATTGTATGTATGGAAATATCGACTATTCACACGCACATGGGAATGAGTTTGAAATACAAGTGCCTGTACAGGAAATCATGAATCATAAATACAAATTACTATTTATATACTGAATTGAATGTTAGTTAATTGTTGTGAACAATAAGCCCAGTTTTTCTTATTATACTATGTATAAAGATATTTTGTAACGAACATACACAAAATTCGTTTATTAAAACATATTTTAAATATTTATCTTTTGGACTTTACAATCATTTTGCCTTGATTAACATTAAGATTTCTTTGATTGTATATCGGGTGTTCATGTAAAATAATGTTTGTATGAATCAGTAATATATTTTGGGAAAAGGGTTGCGAAATGAAAAGATAATTATATCATAAATTATTTTTATTAAATAATGATTATAAAAGTACAATACAAAGACAGTAAAAGTTGCAAGATACCGGTATATATCCCAAAATGCGAAGGGACAATTAATCATTAGGCTAGTTGTAAGTAAAAAAAAATCACTTATGTTATGCAATATTTATCACACGAGAATTTATTCGAACATCGATGTATTTGAAACATAAAGGAATGAAAGAGATAATTGCATCGAAAGGATGATTTTGAAATAGAGATAATGATGTGTTAGCTAAAAACTATTACTCTGGTCGAACTCAACTCACAGTAACTTGCTATCAGAAATTTACATTTGAATTAGCGTACGTCGAGTCGAACATCATATCTTTATTTGTTTACACCATCCAACAAATGAAAATTATGAAAAATTCGATTCAACCTTTTTCATCAATTTCAAATGCGCATTTCCCCTGCTAGTTGCAATATCATTGAGTCAAGTACGTGCTAGTGTATGGTAATACTGTCAGTAAAGAGATTATTAGTTGCTGAAAAATGAAGTTCATCAACTGTTGGCAATTCTGCTACCTCACGCTGAATGCGAATATCGTTGCCATTTCAGTCTAAATCCGTTAATCAAGCACGTTAATCAACTAAAATTACTTGTTGTTACTTTCAGTATAAATAAGCTTATCAGTCTGTTTCAGTCGGTATAAAATACTTGAATACATAACAATATTGAAATTATTCCCGTCATACTTCTAAAATAAATTTCACCTGTACTCTGAAACTAGACGGAAAAGTATCACAACTGAATTTTCGCATTGAACGTTAGAGAGCAAATTAAATAAACTCCAATTATTTAAACTATTGATATCGATGCAATTCTTATGACTAAAATACTTATAACTAACGACGAGGGGATCTTATAAAATACATATACGTGTATAAGAGTGCCTTCGATTCATCATTTTTCGCAGTAATAACAAATAAAATAAAACAGTACTTGAGTAAAATTTATCTTTTGATGCGCGAAATCAGATAAATTTTTCTTTTGTATCATGTTCGATTTTCTATAAAGATATTGTATAGCACATAAAACGAGTACAAATGTACGAGACACTGATTCGCATGTCTCGTCTCATAAAAAAAGTGAATCTCGAAGCCGGAGACGGCTCAGTTGGAAACAATTTGCCTAAAATTACAAAATAAATTTATAAATAATACACTGACATTTATGCTCCAATAAATATGGGCATTTTCGCGCCAACTTTCGCTTATTTTCAATTTAGAGTTTAAGTTTGTTTCATATGTACAAATTGGACGCAAGTAATCGTCTCAGGGAAGACCGTTTGGCCGCAAGGTGACGCAATTTCAAATTAGGCAGTTTTCTCTTTTCGCTGGCAACAATAATACTCTGGAATTACTTGTTACGTCGATTAAATGATGATTTTACTAGTAAAAGTGAAACAAGGGAATATCAATTCATTTTCAGAAAGAAAAACAAATTTGCTAGTATGTATCACGACTATATGAGTTTTCGCAACATTTGCTCATCAACATCTATTATAATTTATTACATATCAACAAATTTACTTTTTTATCGCATTGCCACTATCAATTAATTGCATTCTCCCTAAAAATGTTTTCCTAAACTCGGTCTTTCATCTCAGGCGATCATTGTTTTTAAGCAACTTTACTTCGTATTGTTAGCTCGCTACCTGAATCGTATACAATAAACACGCACAAAAGTATACTTGTTGCAACAATTATGCGACGGTTAGTACGTGAACGCTAGGGGAGCTTTTATGAACCAACTTTCGAATTGTACGTCACAATGATATTTTCGGTAAAACATTCGCGTGTAAAAACAATCGTGAAAACTTTTTAATTGACATTGACATTTTTACAATTCATAAGAAAAAACCTGGTTCAAAAAGTTCCAAAAAGAAGTTACATTTATGACAATCATATTGTCAATTCTTTTTTCCTTTATTTTTCTTTTTAAAAGTATATTACTCATACCACTTTTGATATTCGAGAATTTCGAAATCAAACTTTCAAATGCAGTCTTTCTAGCAGTATGGTAAATTTTCGAGGTTGTTTCCTTAAGCAAAGAATATCTAAGTAGAAATTAACGTTAAATTCAAGTTAGTTCAGCATCATCATGAATTTAAAGATCCTTCTGTACTTTTACTTATTAAAAAAATATATTTATGTAGATAGCTTTCGCGTAATTTAAATCTAATGCGCAAGTGCGACTACGTAACGCAATGAGAAAAAAATCTCAAGACTCTCTACCGAATAATCATAAAAAGAAACCAAAATGTAAGTACAAAATCAAAGAACTAACTTAAAATTTATTAGGTAAATTCTCTCTTTCTCTCTTGATAAATCATTTTAGTTTTTACAATCTCCGCGCACATTTGAAGAGCGCATACTTGAAATTTGTTTTCGAACTTTCCGACATTATTACACTGGTTTTGTTTCCCCTCTGAAATAACTGACTCTACGAGTTCTCACGCCTTATTTACAGTTATATGTCTCTCAACGAACGCGCGTGTTTTATCGTTTTTCGCCAAATCGCAAAAAACTTAATCCTAACAGATCGTGTTCGTCCGGATCCGCTCGGCATTGCTCGGTATATATCCATTACTGTACAAAATCATTCGGGATTGGCTTTGAGACTCGAACGATGATTCAAGATTTTATTGCTGATCTCGCATCGAAGGCATGGCTCCGTCTTCGACAGCGCAAGAGAAACCCTCGGTACAGCCTGATCGTAGATCGCAATCCGGTCGGCCGAGGAGAGCCGCCCCGACAGCGCCGAGCGAGGAGCGAGGAGCGAAGAGAACACGGGCCGGGCCACGCGCGCACACGCGCAATGGGGTCGAGGTCGAGCGATCCTAGACGAGAACCTCGAGGCTCTCCCGCGAGCGGCCCTCCGGCTGGACGATCATGGCCACGCTGTCGTTCTTGCGCTCCCTCCTGCCCGGCCGCACGGCCGGCAGAGCGAGCCTCAGCCTGTACCAGAACTCGCGCTCGTCGGCCTCCCGCCAGCGCAGCGTCGTCGGGCTGCGCGCGAGGGCCGTGGCGCGGCTGCGCAGCGCGCTCTGGCTCCGCTTCGACGCGGTCGCCGGCGGCTCCTTCAGCGTTATCACGATCGTCCGGCTACCCAGGCCCGACAGCTGCTTGAGCACGTGGCCGACCGAGGCCTCGGTCCAGTTCGAGTTCAGCGCCTCCGGGCTCAGCAGGACGATCACTCGGCGGGCCGTCGTCGTGTGCGGACCTATCTCGAGGCTCCCTGCAAGCATTTGCCATTGCTCGTTAATTCGCGATTAGCGCAAGCCGAACGACGCGCGACTCGATCGAGCGCCAGAATGGATCTCCTTCGTCGGGCCGTCGCTCGGCTCTCTCCTTTGATCGAGGAGCTGCAAGATTAACGAGAGCTGGAGTCTCGTTGCTTTGTGCGATCGAACGTGCCCCCGCAGGCCCTCCACCGCAGCGAGAGCGAAGTGACGCCTCGCGCGACGTCACAATTAATTGGCTTTTCGATACCAACGAAAATTCAACATCGAATCGTCCTACGTAACAAACTCCGACGTTTATCGAAGCCCGTTTAATTAGCTTCTGCTGTTGTTTCCACGAACGACTCGAGTGGATCACTGAAAACGTAAACGCTCGACGGTTAATTCTGGAACCGATGGCAATCCCACATTGAAGCGCCAGCCGAGTGGCGACAAATTTACAAATAAATCCGGAGCCAGAGGTCGAGCGACCGATCATTAATTCGCGGAAACCAGAAGCATCGCGAAGCCAGACGAGGCGGTCGCCGAGAGAGAACGAAAACCACGGCAGTACTCACAGTGCTGGCTCAAGCTCGACAGCTCGAGCGGGGTGCACTTGTATCGGTGCCTCGTCTCCAGGGTGGGCACGATGATCCCGACCACGATGTTCGAGTCCTTCTCGTGGTAGCACACCAGCACGTCGCACTCCTTGCCATCTGCAACAGAACGCAGTCGCGCGTCAGGCGCAAAGTCAGCAGCCGGGCGTCGACCGCGCGCGTACCGTTTTCCTCGAGCGGGCCGAACTTGTCGCGGCAGTAGAGCGTCAGGGGCAGCCAGCAGCGCGCGTAGAAGGCCACCGCGGACGACAGCAGCATCAGCACCAGCACGGTCGTCAGCAGCACTCTGTGCCACTGGCCGCTGTGCAGTCCTAGGCCAAATTGCGGCTCTGCAAGAAAGCAGCATCGAGCGCGATCACTCGCATTTCAGAGTTTCTTGGGACGCTCGCTCGGACGAGCTGCGAGTGTAAGGAAACAGCCCGCGTCCTTGCCGGCGCCATCCCCGCTGAAAGCCAGCAGAGTCGGTCCGACGTTTCGAAAGCTTCTCGAGGGCTCTAAAGCTCTAAAGCTCTAAAGCTCTAAAGCTCAACGGAGCGCGCGCTCGTATATAGCATTAGATTGCGTCGAACTCGTCGCTGGGTTTCCTTACACTTCGCGCTCGCGCCTGGGACAGGCGTCAGCGAGAAGCTCCACGGACGCACCTTGCCGGTAGAGGTGAACGGGCAACTTGATGTCGTCGTCGTCGACCCCGTTGCTCACTTGGCACAGATACTCGCCGTAATCCTCCAGCGTGATGTCCTCGATCACCAGGTACGAGCCTACGATCTGGTCGTCCTCTCTGCAAAGCAAACGCAAGCGCCAGTTGAGTCGCCGAGTGGGGGGCTTGAGCACGGCGGAGACTCGTCGCGCCGGGGCAGCGAGCGAACCTTCGCGAACGCGCGAGCTTTCGCGTTCGAATTAATTATAAGGCTGCGCAAGCAGCAGCAGGCGAATGGCAGGCAGCGATAAGGTGCCAGCGGGGTTTCCAAGCCGGCTGACGACGAGCTCGCCTCCTCCCCTCCCCCGCCCGTCCTTAAACTTCGGCAGATGGCCGCGTAGGAGAGCTAATCTCCAGCTGCCGAGATTGGCTGGCTATTTTTGAGCGCACGAATCGAGTGCTTTTCGGCATTAACGGGCGACGTCTGCCGCGACTACTCTCGCGCTCCTCGATAAGCCCGCCACTACACGCGCATACGCTTCGCGACCTGTCCGCCTGCCTCGCGGCTATTCGCGTGCCGGAAGGTCGCGTGAAGCGGAAGAGGAAGTGGGCCACGCCGAAACTTGCCGTCGATAGATCCACGCGCGAGCGCGGCCGCCGACGGCGCTGCTCCTAGACTGAAGCGCGAGGGGCGAACACGAGAGCCAGCGCACGCTGACGGCCTCTGCGTCCGCCTTTCCCACGCGGCTCTCGCCCAGGACAAATTAATTTCGCGCGCCCCACTGCGCCTCGCGTGGCTGTCGCTCGGCCGTTTCGCCACTCGGGTTTGCAAGCCTCGGCACTCTCGGTGCGCGCTTCGTCCGATCGACAATTCCATTCTCTTCGATCCACGCAGTCCTCGAGAGAAGTGTCGTGCCGTCGTCCTTCCTTCCGCTCGGTCTTGTTAGCTTTCCATTGACGAGCTTAGCTTCGAGTCGAAATCGACGGAACTTGGATTCTTTCTCTTGACTCTGATCAAATTTTGCGCCGCATTGAGTAACCCCGATTACTCGATGCACGAAGGTTCCCTTTTTTTTTATGGTACGAGTATACATCACGAAACAAAATCCGGACCGGTCAACTCCGTTATTCCCGACATCTCTCGCACAGAACTGACCTTATGTCCGCAATTAGTTTAGAGCTTTAGGATTTCCGTTCCGTTTGTTTGCTTTTTTTAAGGATTTAGTGCCAAACTACCGAGACAATACTGCCAAAAAGGAGCTCAATAATAGTTCATCAAGCCTCGTAATTGACGAGATTTCTTTTGCGAATTTAATTGACACGCTTCGAAGCTCGCAAATTACGTCATCGATCGAAGACGCTAACAAACGCATGACTTTCTCGATTCCGAGCGCAAAATACACCAGAGAAGTATCGACAACAACGAAATTCCTAGATATTTCATTGCCACAGCGTCGGATGGAAAGTAAACGTAACTCGATCGCGAATAAAAGCACCGCGATACGCGCGCCACTCGAGATAAGTGAAAATTTGAGCTGCCAGCGCGAGCGCGATTAATAGCCAGGGCACGGGAATCACGCTCTCGTCTGCGGTCGCGGAACCGACAAAAAGGAGCTCCAGCGCGCAGCCGAAATCGGGTGCCGCTCGCGTAATCGACTCCGCGCATGTAGGGACCGCAATGCCGAGCTGCCGTGATTCATCGTCGCGAGAGCCTCGCTCGAAGCGACGATCGAGGCGCCGCGCCAGACCAGCAAAACGAGATCACGGCGCTGCACCGACGAGCTCCCCCCCTCTCTCTCTCTCTCTCTCTCTCTCTCTCTCGCGTACCCGCGGAAAGACGGATGGCCGCCGCGCGCACACGGGCCGCGAGACGGATACGCCGACGTCGCGGACGAACGAAAATTAATCGCCGCGTTGCGCAATGGCCATCGGTGTGCCGCCCGGTGCCTTCCCGGATTGATTTATGCTCTTCCGTGGCCGAAACTCCGTTCTGCTCGATCGCCGGAATGGCAGGAGCGCCGCGCTCGCGCGCCTTCAGCCAACGACTTTGGCACCCCTACCGTTTCTTCCCGCGCGAGTCATAACGAGAATCAGATAATTCCGCACCGAAAAAACACACACACACACACACACGTAGGCAGCAGACTTTCCGCGCGCGAATTCTGCATCAAGATAAAAAGTTTGCGGGAGAAACGCGGCTTGGGAATGCGCTTAAAGGCTTTGTGAAGAGAGTCGTACCTAGGCGGAATGACAGCGCGACTGGCAGATTTTCGAGATTGCGACGAGTTTCTGACGTTGAGGGATTCCTCCCGAGCGAAGTGCGCCGCTCGCGATTGTTGTTTAAAAAGGTAATGTTGAGTATTATTGAACAATATCGCCGAGAACCCGCGGCATTTGGTAATTTCGCGAAATAATCGGAGGCTGCGAGCCCTGCAAAAAAAAATTGTAAATATTTGTAAGACAATGAAAATTTTCCGACAACGCGATTTCACAGCAATTTTTGAATCGCTCTGAATTTCGACGTTACGTAACTTCTCACGATAGTTCGCGAAAAATTCTCCCCGGGCTGCCAATGTACACGTATAAAGCTCCATCGAAACGCGAGGAAAATCGCTTGGATCGACGAACGAAGCATGTACCTCGGGTGGAGGAAGGGGGTACGAATCGCTCGCCCGCGATACACCTCTCGCGCATACTATCCATCCGAGCTGGCAGCCTCGAGTGCATTCTGCGCATTCCGCCTTTCCGATCGCGCTGCGCTGACGATGAGTCGCGCGGACCACCCGCGCGCGCGCGCGCGCAACTCCTTCGCGTATCAAATTTTATTTTTCACTCTAGTTTCTGCGATTAATCAACCGGGGGGATCCGCCGGGCGAACAAGAGAAATGAAGAAAAAATAAAAGGGAGCGCGGTCGCGCCGAAGGGGGCTTTGTTTTCTCTCCACTTCCGTCTTTTAAGGCGCGCGCGAGGGTTAACCGGCCCACATATCGCTATTCGAGAATCAAACACTCGGCAATGCGCGCACATTGCCCACGCGCAAAAAGACGACTAAAGAGAAAGACAGAGAGAGAGAACTGACCTTATCGCGTTCTCTTTCTTCTCTCTCATTTTTTACTCGTTGTTCTCTGTGTTGTGTTCCCCCGTCAGAATCTTGCCTGTTGTCTCTCTCTCTCTCTCTCTCTCTCTCTCTCTCTCTCTCTCAGCCTACTCACGACTTTCGTAGCTACTCGTGTACATCGCGCCAGGTGACTTTCGCGGTGCATTCGAATTGGCGCGCGGGAGATTTCCACTCGTCAAAAGGACGAACGCCGCGCGACGAGAGACACTCGCAACAAGAACAAGAGTCAAGAAGCAAAGCAGGTTCGACGTCGTTATACACGCGTAGCATTCCCTTGGCCTTTATCTCGAGCGCGCGTCTCCTTTTGAGGGTGGCGGCCTCTTCAGGTTCGCAGCAGTGCTCCGCGGAGAATTCCCTCGCTGCTGGGCTTGGAGCGCGACCACGTCCTCCGCGCTGCCCAATAAAAATCGATTGTTAAAAATTGCGCGCCGTTGCGCAATCGGCTAGCTTCGGTTTTTCTCCCTCGACCGATAAAAATAAACTCGTTTCCTCGACGCGAGTGCCAACTTACGCGAAGGATATGGACAATGCGGCGGCGATTGCCGCTGCTACAATGAATCAAGTGCGAAGGGGGGAAAAGTAGAGCGCGCGCATATGCTCCGCCGCTCGAGTGAAAAATATATTGTCTGTTGAGTAATAAAAACACCACGTGGAGTTGCAATAAAAATATTGTATCGTGAATTGTCGTCGGTACGATAGCATTGTGTGTTTGCGATCGTTAATCAAACATCGCGATGGAAAAAACGTTGTTTATTGGCCTTTTCTTTTTATGTTTGCATCGCGTCGACATTTCAATTACAACATGGAAGACAGTTACAATGTGAAAAAAGCTCTTGATTGAATCGCTTTCTTTTTTTCTTAATAATTTGAATGAAACTTCGTGGAAAATATAAGTTTACACAAGTCTAGTGTACAAAAAGCTTGAGAACGAGCGGCAAATACATTAAAAGTGCAACTCATTAGAGTTTGCACTGTAAGGCAGCAGCACGTCGTCAGCGTAAGAATTTTTCTCGGTATGCAAGGGATTCTTCCATTTTTTACCAAATCTCTCTCTCTCTCTCCCCCTCACTGCTTCAATTTAACGCGCAAAACATCTTTCCGAGAATTTCGTTCTCTATCTCTAAACTATTACAGGCAGCGTGCAGCGTAATATAAGTGCATCGTCGCTGCCTTCATATTAATGCCGTGAACGCCTTTTTCGCGAAAAAAGCTTCTTTTTACATAAATACTAACGTTGTGCAAAAATTATCATCTCCTGGAAGAAAGAGCGCACAAATTCTTGGCAGTCGCGAAAATGGCTCTCCGTAGTCGCACGAAAATAGAAAAAAATTGTCGCACGTAAATTGATTCCGTGGAAGTAAGGCACAGAGAAAATAAGAAGCGTTGAAAGAGGCACCAGCACTCGTCGGGAATTCCCGCCGCGACTTACATTCCACCTGTTCTAATTAACTTGGCACTGCTATTGGAAATTTCAGCTGGAGATTCCATATCTTTCCACGTCTTCACTTTGAGGATTTTATCGAATTGCCCGTGTAAGGGGGGAAAAATCGATTCACACGCGCCACAAAAGTAATATTTTCGGTAGCACTCTTTGATGTCAGTGTTATCGATCTCGGAAAACAAATAAACCAACATTTTTAATGCTACGACGTTTCTCCATTCGGAATGAAAGCTATTCGGCGAATAGTGAAAAAAGAAAAAGTTCCTTTTGTTTTTCTAATATTTTATTGCCGAGTGAATTTCTCAATTTCGACATTCCATAAACTAAGAAATCAGTTCGAATTGAATAAAGAACGGATCTGTGCTTTCGTCATCGATCGTGAAGTTGTAACTTTCACTTGCACACGTATAATCTGGGTCTTTCCTGTCAATTATACCTACACGAGCGCCAATAACAATGTCCCCGCTGAAGCCTCCTTGCCTCTTTTTCGCGATAAAAACGTCGGGCAAATAAAGCGCATGCATTTATGCAGCCGAGTCATTTCTCATACCGTCTGCCAAGAATAACGCGCGTAGTCGTGGCGACGCGGCCGCATCATTATGCGTTTCTTTTTCCGGCGAGCGCGCACCGAAACATGCATTCTTTCTTTATTTTTTTTCCTCCTTTTTTTGTCTTATTGCAAGAGGGAAGCGACGGACACGTTTCTAGGCGAGACGGGCTTTTGCACGGACGTTGCTTTGCAGACTGGAGGTAGCTGTGCCGTGTAATTACTCGGATGTGTGTGCGTATACGTCGCAGGCGGGCGAACGGACTGATCCTTGGCTGTCGAGGGAGCATTGTTCCGCTTGCCCAAGGCGCTTCGGAAAACCATATTGACGATCCTTCGCGTCACTGCGAATGTGTACGCAACGTAGCGAATAAATTAATAATTCTCAAAGTAACGATTGGATTTCGTGAGCACGGGTAAAGCATAATAATGATAACACCGATGGTTGTGCCTTTGGCTTTTAGTAAACATAATACTCATTAGTAAACATAATAGAAAGTTTTCAATGATGGAAAGTATAGAATTTAAGGCACAAGTGAAAAGTAAACGGCACATATTCACTTATATTGGATATATCTTTGACTAATTGCTTTTAAGTCTAACGACGATTGCAAAAAAATTAGCAATAAAAACGCTGTGTGCTATCCCTTTTAATTGAAAAAGCTGCAAGCGCGAGCACCAATGTTGTTATTATTTTTTACGTGTGCCCGTAAAATCTAATCGTTACTCTTTGAATTATTGGACAACAGATGAGACGGGCGTTCGAAACTTAAATTATAAATTAATGTCACGTGGAAAGGTAACACTAAGAAAAAATAATGACAGTATTCGATCAGCAATGTCAGATATATTTGTAATATTTATGATGACACATCAATGAGAACTGTGCCAATAAATATATTAAAAAAAAAACTATGTGGTTACGCTTCGCAAGGGCAGGTTCGACGAGCAAACGAGAAAAAAAAGTATTTGAAGTTTGTGTATTTGCTCTGGCAGGATGGAAAAGCGCGCGGAGGAATTTCAATCGAAAAATAGTGACGTTTCGTGAGCAAACGCGCGCGCGCCTCTCGTTGGCCGAATGTCACTGATAATCAAATATTTACGAGAGCCAAACGGAACGTCGTTACGAGAGAGAAAGAGTCGACGCGTATACGAGTATGTGCGTCGTCCGAAATCCGTGCGCACAGGAAACACAGAGAAAGAGTGTTAATGACGGCCGACGACCGACACGACGAACCGTTTGCTCAACGACGACGGCTCGACGCAAGAAAAGGTATAGCATACGTGCAATTGACCTTTCGAGCTCGGTTGTCGTATCGATACTGCGAGCGCGCTCGAAGTGATAAAAAAATAAAAGAACAAAAGCGCCTGGCGATCCAGTGGAAAGCTCACCTGGAAACGCGATACTGCGAGACGCGTCCATGACTAGGCAACGTGTCGTTGCTGTCGGCCTTCCTCCAGGTGACGGAATTGCGTGCGTCTGGCACGTAAGCGCGCCCAATGTAAGCTTCGCAGAACAATCTCGCTGTGCCCGCCAATGGCACGAGCTGCGACGATGGTCTGTAAGTTGGCAACGGTCTTCCTTTGTAGCCGTGCGTAACTTCGCCTGCAAGAAGACAATTGATTATGCACGTAAGGCACGGCTGCCATTCCGATCACGCTCGCCTCGGGTCCGGTGAAAATGCAAAATTGCGTAACCCTGTTAAAAGTTCCGGCGGGCGCCGGCGTCTTTCGGAGCACTTCGGATGTCTTGCCGCGACTCCTTTCTCGCATTTCGAGCTCTAATTTCCTTTTTTCCTTTTCACTGTAAAGATCGATGGGTCGATACGTCATCGGGCGCGAGTGACACGAAAATTATGCGACGTCGATGGTGAGAAGCCTATACACGGCAATTCCAATTGTAAATGCGTAATGCCATTCGTGTCGTGAAAATTGTGACGCGACGCGGATGAGAATTTCACTCGAAGAAAATTGCAGCGATCTAAAGCCTCGCAATACGCAAAGTTGTAATAAAACCGTTTAATAAATTTTTCAGGTTTTCTACGAAGGTCGGAGTAAAGTTATAGATCGCTTTCGACGAACAGTTCGTATCAGCGATCGTTGCACTTTATCATGTATGCGCTTCTTTACCTTTAAGCGCTCGCGTTCTCGCTCGCCGAACGCGCTGAAATAAAGATCCGAGTCTATTTTCAACGTACAGCATGCCCCGCTTCCCCGCTCGCTTACTTTCACCCGCTGGCGTGCATATGCCGTTGAATGAACAACGATTCCCGCACTCGAGATCTGAAATTGTCGAGCCCCGAAATGTTTTATTTGTTCCCGTCGCGGAAAATCTCGGCGCGGAAAAGCCGGCGAGTTCCTCGAAATTTCCACTGGTTTTCCGAATCGAGAACGCCGACGCCGAAGACCGCAGCGGGAAGTGCAATCGGCTCGTTCGACAGCCGAATTTTTTGCGCAGCCCGTGGCTTTTCTCGTTCTTTCGCCTCATCGAGGATGCAAGTCGCGACGCGTAGGAAGGCGGCGGCGGCGTCGTCGTTGTCGTGCGCGGATGTAAATGTCGCCTCGCCTGCACACGCGCGAATATAATGAGATGCCGTCATGCGGCCTTTCATTTCGCGCCTCAAAGTGTCGTCGTTCAATAATAATATACTCATTTTTTCTTTATTGCTGAATGATTTCTTCTGATCGATCGATCGATCGTCGAAAAGAGGGATAGAAAGAAGGAATTGACGACTGCAGCAACCCATTTTTAGGACCAAGAATTTTCATGGATAAGTTGTCTTTCCAAATTTCTATGTAAATTTTGCAAAAGAAACCATTTTTAAAACACCATTCAAAACATATTTTGGATTTAAGCATGGAAATTTGATGGATTATTTTAGTACAACACATACTGTCTTCCGCACAGGATGCAGTCGAACTTACAAAAGGAACATTCAACAAGTCGCATACCTCGCTAAAAGTTTATCTCTCGTCACGGGCGCGAATATCGGGCACAGCCTCGAGGGCAGCAGCGTAGGCGAAGGAGAAATTAATTGGTATCGCCGTTCCACGTCGCGCAGATTGAGAGTTTCACTCGCTGTAACTGCGTCGCGTTTACGTACGGGAGTTTATGTACCCGGCGAACGGAGAGTACGCGAACAATTAGAGTGGAAGTGTTAAGTAGCCATTAGCAATAGAAAACGCCAACGAAAGTTTGCCAAATTGTCGGGGGATTTGATTTTTCAGCACGATTCCCTCGTTCGCGCGTTCGATTGGCAAAATATTCAACTACGAAAAATACCGCCGATAGATCAAGCCCGCTCGAGGGGCGCATCGATCTCTCTCACTTTCCGCGACGACCGGTTAGTTTATGAGGGCGAGCGAAATATTCGCGCGTGGAAATTTACGAGCGGGCGATGCATCGCAATTTGGGAGGGGGGGGGGGGCACGTCGCGCTCGTGGAAATGGCAGCTTATTAAGTTTTATAAGCAGCCTCGTGCGTTCGGGAATTGACCAATTCATTTACTGCCAGGGGAGTTCACCCTGCAATTATTCCTTCCGCTAAGTTTGGCGTGACCGTGCACTCGCGGGCCAGCATTTCAAGAATATCCAAATTTTCATTGAATCCTATTCGACTGCCCGAAGCGCTCGTTTAAACGACGAAAGTAATTTGGGATGAGCTCGTTCTGTAAATGAACGCAGTGTTATCGAATTCAGAATCACGAGAAACTTGAACAACTCGGAGATTGCGACTTATCGGTAAGTTTTTCAAACTTACCGAATCACTTCTCAAACTCCATCCCACTTCTGCGGATGTTAAAACTGAAAAGAAAATATAAGCGACGCAGTAGGGCCTCTCGAGTTTTTATACGACCTTTTAAAAGTTGGAGTCTTTCGTTCAACTTTTTTTTTCTTTAGCCAAGCCCAGCTTCCAAGTGGTCAGAGCGTACGAGGGTAAAAAAGCACTGTTTCGCGACACCGAGCAACCGGACGCCCCATTTCCCGAGCAGAGTGCAGCCAAACTTTTGCGACCTTTCTTTTGTATTTTAGTAGTGCGACGTCGTTTCGGATCTTCCTCTTTATTTTGCAATTCAACGGCAGTCGAACGGAGAAAAAGGATGGCGCGACGAAAAGATGGCGCGGCTAAGAAAACGGTATCGTCGAGAAGCTGGGTTTTCTCGGTAACGGCAAGAGAGTAAGACGCTCTGAATAGGGAATCGACTTTTATTCGAGAAATACGAGTTTCGCCGCTGCACTTCGATCGAGAACGCCCCGTTAATTGTCCGCCTTCTTTACGCGGATCGGAGGAGCGGAAGAATCAGAGGGGAGGGAGGAATCTCCACGGGACTGGCATCGGATTGACTTTTTCCACTTGCCAACGAGAAAATTCGTAACTTTTAATCGAGTGCCGTTTCTACGATAACGCGCTACACGAAGGCGGAGAAGCTCTCGTGTCGGTGCTTCGGGCCGCGCCGAGTCGAACTTTCATCGCGTGAGAGGAGTTTGCCTTCGTATGAAACGAGATAGAAAATGGAAATTTTTTATTTTCGGATGAACTATTTCCATAACAAGCTATGGTGGGAACAACAAACTTGCGCCTTATAATTTATTGCAATTTATCCCCGTCCCCCTTTCGAGCGTAACAGCGAGCGAGTGAACCGCGTCATCTTCGGCGAAAATTGATGAGAAGTGAGAAGGAAAAGCGACGTTGGACAAAGGATTCGTAAGGCGTTTAAAATTCTTCTCCCCCCTCCCCCCTGAAGCTGCGCCTTGGCGATCGCGTCGACGTCGCCGTGTTTCTTATCTACCGGAGAGAATCAAGTCTTTGTCGCGGCCGGAAATAGCATCGCGTACGCGTATACGTATAAAGAAAAGTGATACGCGCAGCAGCCAGGTGAGCGTCGCGCTCTCATATACATGCGTACGTGACGCTCCGCCGCGACAAAGAGAACGAGAGTTGGGAATTAGCTCGCTCGCGCGGCCCTTATCCCTCCTCGATTCGTCATTTCGCACGGCGCCCCGCTCTTACGAACTCGAGCGGCCCTCGCCGATGTGTGGAAATTCATAACGGGCGAGGCGTTTGATAAGAGCTCGGATTACGTTGGGTCTTCGCGTGTCTCGTCCTTGCCCCGCTCGCACGCTCGCGAGAGCGCGGAGAGGGATGGGCGCAAAAAGGAGTCGTTGTATCGGGGAAAAAGGAAGAGAGAAAATGAAGAAAAAAAAAACAAAAAGCCGTAGGTTTATTCGGAGAAACAATTTGCTCCTTTATACGCACTGTATTATTTTGCCGAGCGCGAGGAGCAGAGCGGAGGCGGAGAGAACAAAAAGAGCGCGCGACGGAATTGCTTTTACTTTATTTCACGATGCATTTCAGAAGAATCAATTCGCCGCTCGTCGCAGCGCATCGGCGCAGGCTGCGCGGTCCTGGCCGCCCAACCGAACCAATCGAAATAATCCAATTACGCGTTCGTCAAAGCGAGCCGGCTCGAGCCGAGTCCTACTCTGTTGCGCGTCGCTCCGTCGGGTGTCCCTGCGAGCAACAACTGCGCAGCTCGCGCAGGACTCAATTGATCAACGCGTCCGCCGACCGCTAATCGGCTCAACTCGTCCGCGGTCTCTCTCGACGCGACGCGCACGCGACGGCGACCCCGTCGAGTCGACGTACGCGCGCGCAAGTTCGCGTTCGAGGAAAGGGTTCGCTGCGGGCGAGTTTCGGCGATCGGCCATCGACGCGAAAGCTCGTCCGCGAGAGAAAAAAAACGAACGGAATGGCACTTGGGAGCTTGGAAGCTACATCAATCACGGGACCCCCGTTCTCAGCGCGGCAAAAGAGAGATCCTGCCTCGCGCACCATTTGCTCGATCTTCTGTCCCATTACACCGTGGCTTTTAATTTTCCTTTTTCCTCCTCTAATCGAGCCATTACACGGCCCTTTTGTCTTTCTTTTGCCTCGGCAAAAACGGAAATGGGAGCTCCGAGCCAAATCGAAATATTATCTGTCGGCAAAAACGTGAAATACAAAGTCGGCCTAGCGAACCTCGCGTGACTCTCTCCTCTCTCTCTCTCTCTCTCTCTCGACAGATATTATACTTTTAATGGGCCCGGAGATAGGGCGAGAGCCGTTGCTAGCGCTGTTGGAGTATTAACAACAAGTTTATCGCGTTGTTGTTATTTCGCTGAAAAGGAAAGAAAACGAGAGAAAGAGTCGGCGCGGATTATCCCGAGCGCCTTTCGCCGAGCAAAGCTGCATCCCGGACGAACCGAAAAACCCCCGACGGTTTTTAACGAGCGACGCCGCCCGAAGTCCGTCGCGAGGAGAAACGGATCAAAGCTCCGTGAATTGCCAACCGAGCCGCAAACGATTTCCATCGTACGGCATGTCAAAGCGCCGGCAAGGCAGATAAAACTCGAGCGTCGCGCGTCGACGTCGTCGGTGAGGCGCGTTGTTTAGACTGCCGCTCGCGAGAGCGGATAATTCGCGGGCGACGCCGCTGGGGCACGGCGATAAACCAAGCGCGAAGCGGACACCGCGACAGATATATGCGCGTGCGTATCGATCGTCGACAGCAAGACGAACGACGCAGTCGTTTAAATGTGCGCGTATACTGACCTAATACTTGGAGAGTGATGTCGCCCTCGAGGCTGTTGGTGTCGTTGCGCGCGCGACAGGAGTAGCGGCCAGCGTCGCTGGATCTCGCCAGCTGCGTGTAGATCGTCTGATTGGCGCTCTCCGGATACAAGATGAAGCTGCTCTCGCCGCCCGGCCACGGGTATGGACGGCTGTCTTTGTACCTGTCGAAGCAAACGCATGTCAGGGGCTTTCCTCCAAATGGCAAATTCATCGGGAATTAAATTCGCTCGCTCGAGTCGATTGAGACTGCGCGCTCGTGCACTGCGGGTCGGCGATTCCGGAGCGAAAACGAACGACCTCTCGCCGCGACGTGTGCCCGCGCACGCGAACCCGAAGGAACGCGCGAAAGAGACAAATGGACAAAGACGCGCTGTCCGTATTCCGCCGGGCGGTGACGGCAAAAAAAGGAAGCCGACCGCGCGAGGTTTTTACGATGCATACCGCATCGGCGCCGTGCCTCTCTCTCGGGTTCACAAACAAAAAGGATATATATACTTTCGCTCGCTCTAATTATCAACAGCCATCGGGAATCCGAGGAGCATCGTCTTCCCCGTTCATTATGAGATCATCGGCCACGGCTATACAATAACGGATCGATGCACTTGAGGTTGGTATGCGCCTCGGGATTTTCTTTGTTTCGCTGCGTTGATTCATGCGCGACTGACCGAAAAGTGACGTTTTCACTAAGACAACGATCCGATACACCGTGAGAACGAGCGATTATCGCTTTGTTCGCCGATCTCGAATGGGATCCTTTTGTCTTTTCTTTGATTCGCTTTTATCGAGGCTTTGGGGCTACGACTCTGCTTACATTGGGCGTTCGTTCTTTTTATCGCAGTTTCTCCGACGGAAAAACTAATGCGTGGAAAGTGTGAACTGTGACTTCTCACTTTTCTGATTCGCGATCGTTGAGAATTTCACGTTTTTCGACCGGAAATGTATTTCAAAGTGCAAAAAAATTAGCGCAGGTTACGGAATGGACTTCGGTAAGCTTTTTACAAATCGCAACGAAAATTTTCGTTCGACGGTTCTGTCGTCTGTCAGCGAATCGGGGGCGGAACAAAATAATAATTCTTCGCGATTTAAAAAAAAATTTATTCTCGCTTGACACCGTTGCTTTTCACGAGGGCTGCGTTTTGAATTTGGCTTTTTAAAAAGCTTTAACGAAACTTTCTCAAAAATGACATTCGAATCACGCGACAAATTGGAGAACTTTCTTATATTTTCACGCGTGCCACTGAGACTTTGGCCAATTGGTCGAGAGTGGAGTTCCTAAAGTCGCCGCATACTTGTCTCAAGGACAAAGCTGCCCGACCGGCGAACTTTCCTTTTGCAGTGTAAATCGCGCGCTAAACGGGCGTCGCTGCATAATGGAGGCGAGCAGCGCAGAGGCAGAAAGCCTAAGCCGCGCGATCCATAAGTTAATAAGCGCGGCGTCGCGGCCGCAGCTCCGCGAGGTTCGCGGAAAGGCCGTGTCGGCGTCTGCACGCGCCGCGTCGCGGAGGCCGGCTTCCCCGCGCGTTCGCGGAAAGCGGCACGGCGTCTCCGCGCGCACATTTAAATTGATCGTCGACGCGCGCGAGACGTCGCGAGCTTCTCGCCCATTCCCACGGGCTGTCGGTCGTCCAGCGCGACACGCAACTCTCGCCGCCGGCAACGTTCGACGAATCAATCAGCGCGCGGAGCTTTGTCGCGTCCCGACGAGCTTTTGCCGCGCTACTCGGAAGCCCATTATCGCCGTCGTAGACGGACATGTCGCGCGGAGAGAGAGAGAGAGAGAGAGAGAGAGAGAGAGAGAGAGAGAGAGAGAGAGAGAGAGAGAGAGAGAGAGAGAGAGAGAGAGAGAGAGAGAGAGAGAGAGAGAGAGGAGAGAGAGAGAGAGAGAGCAGAAGCTGTGCCACGCTCCTACGGGCGGCCTTTTTATCTCTCAATAGGCCTCGCGCGCGCACACCCTCCGTGGGCAGATTGACTAGCTGTTTGCGCGCGCTTCGGGGAAACGCCGCGCGCGGCGATGCTGTAATTGATCGCGCTTCTCCTTTTCTTTGCCCACTTGCCGCCGAGCCTAATTCCAATTTTCAGCGAAGAAGAACAAAAACGCGCCGCCGTCAACGACCTCTCCGCTGCACGATTCGCGCTAAAACTCGGGCCGCGCGCGCTCTTACGGAGCTTCGGATGCGCCGAAAGCTCCGACGTGACCGGTCGCGTCGGTCTTTCCTGGCTGCCCGAGGAGCACGACGGGTCGACAAATTACTCTCGAGCGTCGATATCGCTCCGAGACTACCAATCTTCGCGACACTTTTTTACACGCGCATTTACACCGAAGTTAAATTTCTTTGGCATATTTAACAATAATCACTTGCGAGCGCAGGTAATTTGACGCCTGCTCAATTTGAGAAAGAGCCGGACTTGGGCGCTCTTGTGTGTCAATTAGACAGCAGCCAAAGAAGCGGCGCGATAACACAACAGCCAGAAGCCGACGAAAGGACAAGGCTTGATCGGCGACTCTGAGAGAAAGCTAGTTTTTCTCGGCGCACATTCACGGCCATATCGGCTGGGAATGAAGTTATTACTCCCGAGACGGTTAGCGCAAAAGCAGAGGCTGCGTTATTACAAAAGCTATAAAGCGGAGGAGATGGGATTTCCGCGCAGATGCGCCAGCTGCATGCAAAGCGTTCTAGAAGACAATCGTCGCGCAACGGGCCGCGGGGAGCTTCGGCGACGTATGTAAGCTCCGGGACTCGGCGATTCGGCAGCTTGATTTCGCACGCTTGATACGTCGAGCAGCTGGCCAAGGAACCGTGGACGCGCGATCGACTGGAGAGCAAGGCAGCTTGATCCGATGGACTCCTCGGGACTTATCGGTGATCTCGATGTTGCGCGGCTCGCCGTCGCGCGTAAAAACTGCTACAAGCTAATACCTTCGCTGCTGCGTACGAAAAGCTGTATATTCTCGCCTCGATGTGGAAGACTATATAACTTTGTTACTGTAATAAAAATGACTCCGTTTACGTCGTGTTTACGACGTGCTCGTTTCAATAAGTTAAAGGGGTCCTTGTTGTTTGCATAATCGAGTCTCGCTGATGAAACTTTATCACTCCCACGCTTTTTTTGATTACAATTTATTGGATTGCAAAACAAGTTTGTTCGTAATTTTTTCGCTCGTTTTTCAACGGGTACGTACACTCTTGGCGTCGTTCGCACAATCTTTCCTTGACACTCGAAGGGCAAACTCAATTTTACACTCCGCTCGGCAAAAATGCATCGTTATTGCAATTAACTCGTTCCACACATGCTCCCTCGGCTGCCCCAATTTTCTTTTTACGATCCGCGAATCGCAAATCAACCGCGAAATGACGTGACATTGCATCGCCTGAATAATTCGCGTATCTGTCGAGCGGATTCCACGTAAGCGTCGCAATGCGATACAAATGTGCCGTGCGCCTTCTGAACTTGGCGCGCTTGCGACATTTTTATCCCCGAGCATTCAGGGAATTCGCGCGAGCATTGGCTGATCGAGCGCATCGAAAATCCGACGAAATTAATCATGCGAAACGAGCCTTCGGTTCCAAGGCTCGCGTCGACTAACGAGGAAGAGGAGGAAGCAGAATCTCTTTGCCGACACTCCAACTGTTTATTGCACACGATTCTCCACGGAGTAGCCGCGACGCAGTTATAATAGAGTCGATCGATGCCTTTACCCTCATCATAGCCATTCCCAGGAACTCCGTGTATATGTATACGCATACGAAGTCAACAGCCACGCAAAACACTGTTTGCCGGCTGTAATCCTGTACTTTATGATTTGCGCGCGCGTGTGCACGAATGCTACTGCTTTCGGCGCACTGATTGAATGTTTGGCTTCGGCCTGAACTTTTTTTATTTCGCAGAGTCGCAGTAAAATTCGTTCGAACGAAAAACAAAAATGTGTTTTATTTATTTAACGGGATTTATTTATTGATTTTTTTTAATTTCTGCCACCCCCCCCCCCCCCAATGCACGCGAAAAATCAGAACGAAACGAAAGCCAGCAGCTTCGATTTGTTTTATCAACGAAATTGTTTTACGCGGACAAGCTTGATTATGCGCGTTTGTCCCATTGAGTACGCACGAAATACGCAGGCTCTCGCGATTGATAACACTCGATCGGAAGTTTATTTGGTTCGGCAGAGAGTCGCCGGACGTTTACTTTTGGAGTTAGCGCGAAATTTGCATGTATAATCGCATTATCCGTCACGAAAACGGTACCGGGGCTGCATTACGTTTCGCTCGCGAGCACATAAAATTGAATGCAGTCAAAGGTAAAACAATCAGAGAGTTTACAATTGCCTCGCTGACCGTTCGAAAGCGAAGCGATTGCGCTATCTCCCGACGTTAAATGCACCGAGTAAGTAGATGCCAATCGATCGGATTCGTTCGATTACAACAATGGAATATGGACAAAAGTATTTTAATCTCTCGTCGATTGCGTTTCATTGACCCACAACTGTCAGAGACTCGCCGTTCTACGCTCAATATTCGATAAACCACGTCGCGTTTATATATACAATGCGGCGTCCGAACAAAGGGCTTTCCACCTTTATTTTTCAAATCGCGGAGCTACACGTAACGCTAATTCACTTGTAACCTACGACGATAAAGCAATTCCTTTTAGATTTCGAAATCGCAGAAACGAGACGTAAAAAATGAGGAGAGAAAACGAGAAGTATCGTTTTTTCTCTGCTCAACGACGAGTAATTGTCATGGGAAATTGACGGTTTCGATTTGCGGTGGGGCTTCATTTCCAAAGGTATACAACAAACAAACAAAAAATACGGAGAGAGACACTCCATTGGCTTCCGATTCGGAGAAATGCGATTTCTTGATGCGCCAAATTGCCGCACACCGATTATATTGTCCGACTTTTTCTTTTTCGAGATGGTCGTTCGTTCCGAGGATATCATTGACGCTCTCCGTTCTCTTTCTCCCAAATAAAGTTGGGGATCGCAGCGCTAGTGGTCGCGTCGATCGCGAGTGCAAGTGTCGACGATAAAGTCCAGAATAGACGCGTTACACTCGCAGCGCGAGTCCCGTCGCATAGCACAACTGCGACCCTCGATACCGTCATTATCGAGCGCGCAATAATTGATATAACGCGGCGACGCCAAAAGTGTCAGGTATCCGTC